GATGACTATTACTAATAGTCCCCTGGTAGCGTAGCCAATCAAAATACAGGATTTGCATTAGTCCACTAGTTGGGTGATACTAATCTTGGATATTCCCCAGTTTTAGCTGGGAAATATTCAGTCATGTGACGCATTTAGACCAATCACGCGGGAGCAAAAATATTCAATGGATTATAACACTCGCATATTCCTCAGTTTTAGCTGGGGTATATTAAGTCATGTGAAATAAACCAATCACGTGCGAACGAAAATATCTGATGGATTATAACATATTCAATGCTGATAATAATACCGGTTAATTAACTCACCCATAAGAAAATCTTTCATTTTTGCCCCACCTTGAGATAACTGATGCTATAAGACCTGCTAGGAGCGCCGTACAATCAAAGAACATGTGAAATGAATCGGAGATCAAACCAAGACTGAAAGAAAATAAAGACATCCATCGTTGACTAAGCAGTACACATTTAAATATATACACAGATGTACACATATACCACCAGAATATAAGCAATACGTGTAATTATTGTCAGAAAAATGTGTTTCTAATCACCTGTTTGTCCATATTCCATAAGCCAACTCCACAAAAGCAAACGACAAATTAAGCAGAAGAAAGAAGAACAGATTCCTTGAGCTCTCGTTGGCGAAGATTGCCCTACATAAAAACAAGTAAGAGATTCAACATGGATGAACACATGGTCATGGATTTGACGAAGCGAGATACCAAAAAACAAGTTCCGATCCTCTCCATACTTTATCCATTCGAAGAAACGCGATTTTAGCTTCACTCCTGGTTTGAAGTCGTCACTTTTAAAGCTATCTTTACTTGTTAATGGAAGCATGCCGACATTACAATATGGACCTCTCACCAACCACAACAGACAGCCGGCTTCCAGTATTGCAAAGTCTTACGTGGCATTTCGATCGACTCACTTCCTGTCAACTCTCAAGGACTCGTGGGATAGTTTATAGTTCATGTCTCCGGTTGCGTGACAACTTTGCGTTACATTCGCAAAGGAACAAAGTTGTACTTGATTCTTGTCTTCAGGTAAGTTCTGTGTTGTAGAATATTACTCTGTTTGGAAGTGGTGAAGTTGTAATTTCTATTAACATAAATCCTGCTTGAAAGGGAGTATAAGGTAAAATTTGTCGAAGGTCAAGTGCAGTTCTCTAAACAAGGCTTATGCAAGTGTAGGCTCGTCTTGTCTAGCAAGTTTCCGATCATTACGCCGTTTCTTAGAAGTAACCGGGAAAGTTTTTTTGTGCTTATATGTGTATAAGGAGGATTTAATAAGGAAAAGGTTGTTAATATTCACAGTGATGGGAAATCCTTGTGAATTATAATATATAAATATATAAATAAATCCCAGCCGTTAATTTGCAAGTTCCACTCGGCGTCTGTCGGCGACCAAATGTTTAAATTTCAAGTACATTTGTTTATAATCACAAGTGTGTTTCCAAATAAAATTAAACTTAAGCTCAATGACGAGCTTTTGATTAAACTTATTTGTTTATTTATTGTCAGTGGTTTTTTCTATTTTTCACATTAATTGTTCTTTTCTATAAAGCGCATGGGGTGGCCAGTGGGTAACAACCGCGAGTGAAGCATTATGGGTATGGCGGTGATCGGGGACTAATTTTGCAGATTGGAGAGCAAATAAGCTCACATCTAAAATTGTGGTGAATGTATGGATGTATATGAAGAAGCTTGATTAACTAACAGTAATTCAACCTCTCTAACTTCAATCAAATTTTGTAATGATCTGTGATGACTCATGTGCAATTCCGATTTCTATTCTTAAGCTTCAGTTTATAATTTTGCCTAGTAAGTAATGTAGATAGAGGACTGTCCTAATTAACTTAGTGTTAGCTTGGTGATATCCTCTGTAAATATTCTTCTTCATCTTCTCCTTCTTCTTCTTCTTGTTCTTCTTGTTCTTCTTCTTGTTCTTCTTCTTCTTCTTATTATTATTATTATTATCATTGCACCTCCGTGTAGCCACCTCCGCTATGTAAATTAGTTATAACTCTTGAACTCGCATTTGTTAATTTAATTCTCATTTGTACCCTTGATAATGGCGTCATGAGGTCGCCGAAACGTCAGGAGATTATATCATTTGTTTTTACTTGTCTTTGTATTACTAAATCATTGTTAATTATTATTATTATTATTATTGAACACCTGATTTTTTAACCCCCTGATAACTTGAACCAAATGTTGTTTCCCTTCTCTCAGTGGAATGATTTTTGTGTCCGTTTGAGGCTCAAAAAACTCATGATTCCACTGTGCTTGACAACAACTGGAAAAGAGACAGTGTCACTGGCATTTAATGGGGCTCTGTAATCGCTAAGGGATGTAAGTACATTTTTCTCTATCTTTTGCTATACCCTAGTTCCTGGAAGATTTTGTGTTGCCATGGCATTGCTGCTTCGGAGGTCAATCTTGTGTGGTCAGTTAGGACAAGTTTTGTGTCCTAGAGGATCCAGGTAAAGTGTTTCCTTCAGTCATTTATACAACTTAACACAGACATGGATTTTTTAATTGCCTTATCAAATGATGAGATTCAAATATATATAGCATTACAAGCCATGGGTGAAGTATACATCAGGCCTATGGCCTATACAGCTGGTGTTTATCCTGGTTTCTGTAGCATGATGATGGAGCTAAGGGTTTTTCTACTCCCCCCTGGGTGGGATGCTGGTCCATCGCAGGGTTACACCCAAGCGGTAAATACCTGGGTGGAGAGAGGCAATGTGAGAGTAGTGTCTTTCTCTGAAGGACCCAACGTGATAGCCCCAGCCAGCCAGGGCTTGAACCCAGACCATTCGATCCAGAGTCTAGTACGCTAGCCATGAGGCTATACTGCCTATGCATTACAAGCCATGCTATTTGCAAATGCAATTGGTAAAAACATGGAATCAGAGGGTTGTAAATTCTCTATCTCATTTTATAGATATACTCATTAAAAATATTAAAATGCAGTCCTTTGTTTTTACTTTGTATTTATATTGTTGCTGTCTGACTGGTAGTCCTGGAATAATTTGCAACAACTGAGTGCTCCAGTTAAAACTGAATTTAAAAATGAATTTCTCATTGTAAGAGTTTCATTATTGTTGGGTGATTTGCATCCCTTCTCTCCATAGCTAAGTTTTCCTGAACTTCCTTGAGTGTTGCTTTAAAAAGTAGAGTTTTGTCTGTCATTTAGGAATAAAACTAGATGTGTTAATATACATGTAGTTCAATCATTGTTATTCGCAGGCATTTGATGAGAATGAATTTGGCACAACCAGTAAGAAAAATCAGTTCCCATTCAGCTTACGTGACAAAATCGTCTCACTATACAATCATTGGGGCTTTAGTAGGCACCATGACTGGTCTTGGTCTTATTTTGAACAAACAAAAGGTACTAATAATAAGTATTAACTTATCAAGCTTTCTCCTTCGCAACTGTTACTAGGGTTGTCACGCAACACTTCTCCTTCACAACGCTTCTTGGGGGAGAAGCATTGCATGACGACCCTAATAAAGGCCACGAAGGAGACTATTTGTAAATAGGTATGTAAATGGTTGTGTAAAATAAGTGCAAACTTACCTGTGCCTTACTTTAATCAATTTTCTTATAAAAACGATATACCATAAAGATTCAGTTTAGTCCCTGAGGTGCTAATTTAAGTTTGGTGCCTCGAGGGAGTGCACTTATTGGAGAGGGGGCATTTATTAGGAATGGGGCTCTTATTTCAGTTTGAACCCTATTAAATGGCCACCCTTGGGGAAATGGATAGTGGCAGCTTAAAGGGAGCGGGAGGCTTAATGGAGGTAAAAACAAGAAAACATCAGGACGTTGATTACTGGTGGCCTAATAGGGGTGGCTGTTTAATAGGTGGCTGCTAAATAAGAGTTTGACTGTATATGTTGTGGTTATATTTTAAGCTTGGTACAATTTGGTATTTGCCTTTGTTCTGGTGAATGGAATATAAGGTTATGTGTATAAAACAAAGGATACTAGATTGCACAAAGGGTAGAACTGAACCGCAATATATATAACCACAACAGCCAGCATAGCAGAAATACACGAGGTGCTAATTTAACCATTTTACCAAGGAGATACATTAGAGAGAAAGAGGGAGGTCGCATGTTTTCTGCAACAACTTCAAGATGTTGGAATCACCTCTCCCTTAAGCTATGCACTTCTCAATCTATATATACTTTGAAGAATGCTTTGTGTATAAACATTTTAAATTAAGTCTTAGGGGTAAGATTTTTACTCCTTTCTTGGATAATTTATTTTCAGTTTGCACGATATGAGCAATATGTTTTACCTTTGACTTGTAGATCTAAATCTGTTGTACTTTGTGATATTGAAAAAGGTTTTAAATAAATTCTTAATTAGGTTACTGATTGAAATAGGTGTTATTTAAATTGTAACAATGTTTATAGAGGGCCACAAGTTCATTAGTTTTTTAACTATTGTCACCCTCTTTAGATAAAGTTTGATTGATTGATTGATTGATTGATTGATTGATACATCTGAATGTGATGCAGTAATTTAATGCAAAGTAACAGAAACTTTAACTCAAGAACTGTAACAGTGGAGGTTCTGATACCCATATTATGTTTAATATTATGCTCAGATAAGAAAGCAGGCTTCATAATTCATTCTTCTAATCGGTTGATTCTATGTAAATGCCCTGAATTCCACTCTTGCCATGGGGATGCTTTTTAGAAAGGGGCGCTTTGTGGAATGAGGGCACTAAATCAAACCATTATGGTAAGCGTGATTTGATTAAGTGTCATCATTCCAAAAAGTGCCTCCTTTTCTCATTAGGGTAAAGCTCTTTAAAAAATCATTATGGTAAGCTCATTGGTTGTCATTACAAAGAAAGAAATTGAATCTATGGACTCTAAAGAGAGTTGACTTTGCATCGTTGTGGTGAACCATATTCTATGAATCATGCCTTTTAAATTAATTGATATTATAGATATAAAAAATAAATAGATATAGAAAATAAAATATAGAGGTTATATTGCTAGGCAATGACTGATTTTGAGCAAGAGACCATCACTACTGTCCCACATGTGTCACAGGTTACTCTCATATTTGGCTCTTTTCAATTAGGCTTACATTTGCCTAATGAACCTTTTCAGGCAGCCTTTTCTCTGAGAGCTGGAAGTTAATTTACTAGCAGCAAATATAATCCCTCTCTTTCCCTTTCTATGTTTATCGATAGTTAACTGCTCTATTGACAAAGTAGATTGAACAACATAGGTACTTAAGACATAATCAATAAAGTAAGGGTGGGAAATTGCTGCTTACAACACCCCTTAAGCCCTGAGCAAAGCCCCGTCCATGAAGGGACACAATAATGATAATGATAATGATAATGATGATAATTAATAATAAATAATAATAATAATCAGCTCTATTTATTGAGGGTAGTACATAACAGTAATCTGGAAAACCAGTGGCCCTCATATAAATATTTACAGAATAAAAAAGATGACATGTCAAGAATTAAAAGTATAGAAAGATTCTCAATTATGTAACAATAATTTGAAAAATTAAGATATGAGACACACTATGCCACTTTTCCATTGGATTAAGTTAACTTGGCTCCACTGGGGACATTATGCAAGTAACTATAACCATCTTCCAGTATAAGCATGGGGTACTCCTCGGCATGGTGAAAGGTTTGTGTTTTCTTATAACTGTCAGACTGTGTGTATTTTAACAGCTCTCACAGGCTAAAGAAGCAAGTACTTCAAATGAGGATGAAACACCACAAGGTAAAGGTCCAGTTTACACTATGGAAGAAGTTTCCCAGCACAACACAGCAGAGAAAGGCATCTGGGTCACATACCAAGGCAATGTGTATGACATTACAGATTTTATTGCACACCATCCTGGTGGCTCACAGAAGGTTATATTGGCAGCTGGAGGAGCGTTGGAACCATTTTGGGCTCTTTATGCAGTGCACAATACTCAGCATGTCCGGGACTGGTTGGAAGAATTTCGCATTGGTTCCTTGGCCAAAGATGACAGTTCTCATCACGCTGCTGATATCAAGGTACCATATCTAATCTGGAATTTTCCAAGTAGGAATTTTTTACTTACATTGTAGAGATACAATGCATGTGGAGGGAGTGTAGCTGTACGACTTTGATGCTTGACATCATAGATCTTAATATTAAAATGTAAATTTACATGCCGACTGTGGCACTAAATTTTTGCAATTTTTTTTTTTTGGGGGGGGGGGTTTCACGATCTGCAAAAAAAGCTCCTGCAAAAAAAAATTCCCTCAAAAATTTTCTGCACAAAAATTTACTCCACTAGCCAAATTATACATACCAGCATCACAAGTAGAATCTTGTTGCTGCCATCAACCACACAAAAGCATGTGACATTGATTACTGGATTCCTGGGTTTTACATCATTCTCTATATGTTGTTTCACGTGCAGTTTAATAAATTACAACATTTTTGCATTTTTAAATTATTAAAAAATGCAAACATGTTGTAATTTCAATTAAATGCAACTTCCTGAAAATAGCAAAAATTAATACCCAGCAAGACTAAACCAGACTTTTAAAATCGCAAAAATTAAGTCCCTCAAAAAAAAAGAAATCGTCAGTTCGCAAAAATAAACTCCCGCAAAAACTTAGTGCCACATGATACAAATAAACTTTAGTATTATGCTGGTTTAAAATGAGCAATGATAGGGCAGATGGCCATTAAATAACTTTGCTGGATTTAATGATCTTGGATGTTCAGTGACCCCTACTGTTCTTTTGATGGATCATTTTCTCTATCGATTTTCTACGTTTTGTGAAAAAATTGAAGAAAATCTATCAATTAGAAGTTTGAATTTTTTGCCAAATGCACCATGAAATTCCATTATTTTTAGCTCTTCATTTATCTGTGTGGCGGTTTCAAATGCCTTTTGAAGGGTTAAGTTTTGTGAAAACATTGGCAAAATTTGGAATTATTTATGCAACAGATCCACTTCTACAAAATATGACTAAGATTGTTTGCCTCCGTTGACTCACCTTCGATATTTGTAACTATAAACCCCTGTAGATCATGCTGAATTACCTGTGCCAATTTTTCAAAATCAGAATAGCTTTCCACGTGCTTTATCTCCGAAACGAAGTCAGTAACTCCCAATTTTTTTGCATTTCTGACACAAGTAATTCATTATCTGACTGCAGTAAAAATTTTTAAAAATCTATCGACTGGAAAATTTTCACATGAATGTCCTTAAATGCCTCAAATCCAGTTAATCAGCATTCATACATCCATTGATTTATTGTCATTGGTTGCTCTGTGAACCAGACAATTGAATTGTACATCATAATTAACACCATATGATGTTTTAGGATCCATTTGCTAATGACCCAGCACGTCACCCAGCACTGAAGGTCAATACCAAGAAGCCATTCAATGCTGAACCACCCATGCAGCTCTTGTCAGACAATCTGGTTACTCCTAACGAGATCTTCTTTATTCGTAACCATCTACCTGTTCCCGATATTGATGAAAACAAGTATGAGTTGGAAATAACTGGCGAAGGAATTAACACTGTTACACTCTCTCTTGAGGTAATTTATTTTTTGGTTGGAAATTTAAAAACGCCCGTGTCACACTTCCAATAAACATGCATAACTTTGATTGAGAGTGGAAGGTCCAATGGAAAGTTTTTAACGAATAGAAATTGTGCAACTTAGTAGCACGTGCTGGCCAGAGTCCTCTGAACTTGCCTGTGTAGGGAGCACTCATGTATGCATGAATTGAAGCATGTGTTTTTCCACCAGAATGTATCTTGTTACTCTTGCGCACTACTCAAACAAGTGCCTACTATGCAGACAACCACTGCCCGCATTAATAGTAATCGATAAACTTTTATGTAATGCATATACACTGTACAATGCTGTCCTATATGCTTCACAAAGATAAAATCTTGAATATTCAATGCTTCTTATACAGAAATTGAAACTAAATGAAATGAATACTGTATTTGCTGATTATAAAGGTTAATTAAACTTTAATAAAATATATACATAGATTAAAACTAATAGTCCCAATAACAATAAATAATAAAAATTATAAGCTTGTTTGAAAAGATGGGTCTTCAATTTCAATTAAAAATGTGTAATTACCTTTTACATTATTGTTTCTGCCACTGCTTCATTAAAAACCATTGGTTTAATAATAAATTACTAGGGCGGTGAATTCCATATACCACTAGTTTATCAGTACCTGGCTAGCTTCAGAAGCACTCAATGCATGCAGAAGTCTATGAAATTGTAGCCCTTTGTACACATTGCGAACCTATTCATAAAGTTCCTAAACAACTGATAAGGGTGCAGCCATTTGCCACTTTAGAGAGGAGAAGAAATCTGTGAGAAATTGCTTGTGGGATAGATACTGGGGGCAACATAGCATTCCGTCTTTAGTTTTGTCTCCAGTTACTATTCCACTAGCCACTGCGAGATGAAACTTGTTTTGCTATTGTTGCTTCAGGACCTGAAGACCAAGTTTCCAAAGCACTCAGTCACGGCAACTATGCAATGTGCAGGTAACCGAAGAAGTGAAATGAACCAAATCAAGATGGTCAAAGGTCTTAACTGGGGAGCAGCCGCCATTAGCACTGCAGAGTGGACGGGAGTTCTTTTGAAAGATGTACTAAGGTAATTTGTGTGTTGAAATGAGACTCGTTTCGTGTATCGAGAGAGACGGACGCGTCTTGCGAGAAACGAGACTGGTGTCGTGTATCGAGAGAGACGAGACGAGTCTTGCGAGAAACGAGACTCGTGTCGTGTATCGAGAGAGACGAGACGCGTCTTGCGACAACGTGAAATGTGTTCCCAAAAATGAGACTTGTATGGAGAGGAACGTGACTCGCCTTGAGAGAAACGTGACCGCTAAGCGAAAAACAAGGCTTGCGTTGAGAGAAACAAGACTCGAGTCGTGAGAAACCTGGGAGGTCTCGTGAGAGTTGTGACTCTTGTGAAAGGAACGTAACACGACTCGAGAAAAATGAGACTTCTATCGAGAGAAACATGATGCGTCTTGCGAGAAACAAGACTTGTATCTCAATGCAGGAGGCAACAATCTCTCGAGACAGGACACTCGCCTCGCGAGAACATGACAAGTCTCGGGAAAGTAATAGTATACTTTTAATGGTACTTTTGTCTGATTTTTTTATATTAGGTATGCTGGACTCGATGACTCCTCTGTTGGAAAAACTGCCGCACAACACATTCAGTTTGAAGGGGCGGATCATGATATCACGGGCTCCACGTACGGAGCTTCGATACCTGTAAACAGTGCGCTTTCTTCTGAAAAGGACGTTCTTGTGGCTTACGAAATGAACGGTGTTCCGATTCCCAGGGATCACGGCTTTCCTGTGCGACTTGTAGCCCCAGGGGTAGTTGGTGCACGCAATGTGAAGTGGCTGAAGAAGATTATATCGAGTAAAGAGGAGAGCCTCAGTCACTGGCAACAGAATGACTACAAAGGGTTCTCCCCGTCAGTCGATTGGGACACGGTCGACTTCAAGTCAGCTCCTGCCATTCAAGAGCTGCCGGTCACATCAGCCATCTGTGATCCACCAGAAGGCGCGGTGATCTCCGCAGACGAGGGGGAGATCTCACTGAAAGGTTACGCTTGGAGTGGAGGGGGGAGAGGCATCGTCCGAGTGGACGTGTCCCTGGATGACGGCAAAACGTGGCACGTCGCTAAACTGGAAGGAGAGGACAAGCTAGAACGTGCATGGGCTTGGAAACTTTGGCACGCTACCCTTCCCCTGCCAGAAGGGAAGGAAGCCCTGCAGATCTGTGTCAAAGCAGTGGATTCGTCTTACAACTCACAGCCTGAAGGTGTTGCGCCCATCTGGAACTTGCGCGGGGTTCTTTCAAACGCTTGGCATCGAGTTAACGTTAAAGTTGAACATGAGCAGTAAAATGGTGCGACGATGGAGGATCATGCAGATGTGGTGCGCTGTACTGAAGGTGGCTTGATCCTATTAATTTGCGAAGAAAAGTTTTAGTTTGTAACTAGGAAATTGCTGGGCTGCGCCAGGAAAGCATTCAGCTGTGTACCAACATTTCCAAGTTGCCTTTTACCTTTGTCTCAAACCTAACCTCCGATCAGGCGTTCTTTTTTGTTTTTCTTTTTTTTTAGCGAAAAAAGAATGCCTGATCGCAGGTTATCTCAAAACGAGTCTTTGTCCGAAACCTTTTATATGAAAATGTGTGACACCTACAGGTTCATTTTCTTTCAAATCAAACTTATGAAGGAAGACTCGTTTTGAAACAGAGGCACAAGGTAACTCGGAAATGGCCTATTGATCGCCAGAGAGTTTGACGGTGCGACTGATGTTTCGAGTGTTAGCCCTTCGTCAGAGCAAAATGGAGGATTGTGGTTTGAATATGTGTTTATGTAAAGTGTAGTAGGGAAATATTTTGTCTAAGAGTATATAAACACACATACAACCCACAATGCCTCACAATAGCTAACTAATAAATTGTGGGGTGGTAACCTTTTTAACAAAGAGAGGTCTAAAAATATTGCCTCTGAGGTTGGCATTTGCAAGAAAAGAAATCTTTCGTTGCATTTGAAAAGCTTTCAGGCCCCGGCCAAACGATCGCAACATGTCAACGCAACATCAGTTGTTGGGTGCAACATGTTGCGCGCGTTTGGCCACCCTGTTGCAGCATGTTGGGTGTTGTTGGCTGACATTTGACCATTTCAAAATTTGAGTCAACAACAGCCAACTTGTCACAACACGTCGCAACAGGGCGGCCATACGCGTGCAACTTGGTGCGCCCAACAATGTTACGATATGTTGCGTTGAAATGTTGCGATCGTTTGGCCGGAACATTATGCATCTATCTTTTAGCTGGTTAGGCATAACGTATTTTTTAGTAGCGCGCAGTATAGTCAGGATTCTCATGAAATTGGGTGAAAGAAAACTTGGGAGCCCTAAGACTTATTCGATGAAGTAAGGGCACTTAAAATAATCCATCGTCGTCGTTGTTTTTACTTCCAAAAAGTTTCATTTAGGATGCCCCTCCCCCCGCCAAAAAAAAATAACAAACAAAACGAGCAAAGAAATCAGTTAATTTTTTTCCGGCTAAGAGTGACAGAAAAATGTAAGTAACCCGCAAATTAATGGGTTCAGGCCACTTTTTACATCGAATCAAAGACCGTTGAATACAGTCAGTGAAAAACCGATCACCTTGCCTCCTCTTTGAAGAAGTATTTAACACTTAATAACAAGAGAAGAAATAAAATTAAAGGTAATAGATTGAGTTTGCTAAAAAGGAAAAATGCCGAAGTGTTGGCACTAAACGGAAAAGGATCAGTGAACAATGACGGCTATTATTATAGAAGATTGAGATGAATTACCAAAGATGAATCTGAACGATGTGGGTTAAACTTTTAACGATATGCAAACTATGAACTGAATTTTTCAATAGTGGAACATTTTGCAATAGTCAGCTCCGCGTTCGTATCGTGTAGCAAATCGGTTCAATGCAACCATAAAGCTTTGCACAAGAGTCGGGATGTGTTTATTTGGACCTACAAGAGAGGAGGAAGGTGAGGGAGTTACTCCCCCCCTTTATCTTCATGGTAATCCCTCTCAAGTTATTCTTAGGTTACTACTGGCTCCGGAAATCTCAGGAGGGTGTAGAAATAGCCAATCCTGTGACACGGCATGGAGAACCCAAGCGGCTTTACCCTCTCTGTTATCCTCCACGAAAACATCCACGCCGAAGACGCGCGTGGCAACATTATCCGCGGAAAGACTCGGTACCATGTCAAACAACTTGAGAGAAAGGGAAAAAGGCTCATATAGGTTAACTCTGTGACCCTTTCTCCTCTGTTGTGACGTAGGCATTGTATGAATTATGTTCAGCAACTTGTAGGGAGATCAACAGGAGGCAGGCTCATTTTGTTGGCGCCTCGTCACCAGACTCCACCCTGCCGGAACTTTCCGCTCTTCGCCACCCGCGCGTGTGACTCGAAGGTGAGCCTGCGCGCAGGTTAGCTCAGACTCTGAGACAAACGAACTATTCAATGAACCAACCACCCAATCCGAAACTTAAAATGAACGGCAAGTTACAATGGCTAGAAACGGCGAAGAAGCTAGACTCAAAACTCCAAGAACAGCGGCAACGTTGGTCAAAAAAAAAGTTGCAACAAAGTTGAAAATCTGAAAAATCAAGACAACAAGGTTTAAACGTACGACACTTCCGTAGCTAGAAAAACGTGATGACTGAGGCAATGTCCATGGTTCAATTCCTAGGTATTTTATTATTTTACTTTCTTCCTTCCAAAAGAAAACCAAAAACAAAAATAATGACTGAGGCGAGCACGTTCTGGGCCACGATTGGCTAAAATGAAATCACGTGAAATCATGCGCGCGGACAAAACACATACTAAGGCGAGAGGGGTGAGTTCAGAATTGAGAATTCGAAGAGTTCAAACAGGCATCTTTCTAGAGCATCTTCAGGGTTGAGTGCCGTTGGAACGCCACAGTTTTCATTCCTTTTACACAGTTTCTCTCATCTCGTTTTTGAATGAAAATGGAAAGCAGAAGATATTGTCAAGGTTTTACTAAATAATTAATAGCTAGATACCAGAACCACCCCTAGTAACCATTGACGTCATGAAACAATGCTGGAGACCTCAAAAGGCGTTTGTGACGTCAAAACAGTGTCATACAATGGCGATGACGTCAAAAGCGTGCCACGCCCTAGCAACATTCTTGCAGGGGTCCACTGTTTTATTTTGAAAAACAACAATGACGGGAAACATATATCAATTTAAATTTCCGATCTGTTGACCGAAACGTTGGAAAAGTTTCATCGTTGGTCGAGTCATGCGTTTGGCAGAGGGCTCATAGCCTACTCCAACCTCATTCCAAGGGCCTTCTCAACGATAAAAAGGGGAGAAGGCCAGAGGACAAGGTTGAGCCAACTCAAAATTTCGGGCTATTGCGTCAGAACTTCGCATCTTAGCAACCGCTGTAAGCATGACGTCACGGCCAAAGAACTGCGGCACTAAAGAAAGATGCTGCAAAGATTTTGACGAAAGGTTTGGTAATGCTTTGACGAATTTGGCCATTTTCAAGGGTTCCTTATTTTCAAATAAAAAGGAGAAAACACGACTAGCAAAACGATGGAAAGAAGAAATCATAGTGCAACATATTTTTGTCTATAGGAAGTATTTTTCAACAGAATAAGCATCTATGGAGTCTATTAACCAGAGTGATATGGAAAAGGCAGTCATGTCCAAGCGGCCGAAGGCAAAAAATCAAGAAAGCAACCAGGACAAGGATATGCGTAGAATCAGATTTCGATTCGTCACAGCCGAAATGTTAGAAAAGTATCGTAAGATGAGTGAGGAAGCAGAAATGTTCAAAAGGCAATATGAAGAGCCTGCTTTTAAAGTATATGGAACGATTCCCGCGGGAAAATCGTCTTTTGAAATGCAACGTGAGAACACTGAAGAACATAAAGAAAACCATGGAAACGACTAGCTGAAGAAACGGCCAGATGAAACAACGTATCTGCTAAAATATTAATTTATTGTAGCTCCCAATTTTTACGTTGAAAAAACGTTGAAATCGCTTAGGCCCCGTCCAAACTACGCCGGAGGAATTTGAAAACGCAGCTTTATTTCTACGGTTAGGCCTACCGTCCACACTAATCCGGCACGAAAACGCTCTTCAAACCG